AATTTTATTATTCTTAATTCTAAAATTCTTAAAAACAAATAAAATGTAATTAAATATGTCTATCTATTATATTTCAGGATAGAAAAATATTCTATTTTGCTAAATTATACTTCATTTAAGTATATTGAAAAAAATACATTCTCATACAAACAACAATAAACAAAATAATAAATAAATAAAACTAAATACATTACAATAATCCTATTATATTAATTAAATAGTAAGAATTTAAATTACTGCTAATTGATTTGGTATTTCTAATACGAGACAACTTAAGAAGTTAAACTATTCGACATCAAAAACACTGAATAACAGTGTTGTTTGGAGTTGCAAATGCCGGACTGGCTTTGAGTAATAGATAATTTTTTATATATTGAGCTGTCTCGTGTTACAAACAACCAACAACATGTCAATTCGGACTTGGAAGCACCAAACATTCCCTTACTAGGCCGAAAACTTTGTGGGATTTCCCATCTTTCTGGTTTTGGAAATGCTAGAAAGGGGCACTATTTGCCTTTACTATTTCTGGTTTTGGAAATGCTAGAAAGGGGCACTATTTCCCTTACTACTAGAGAGGCCGAAAACTTTCTGGGATTTCCCATCTTTCTGGTGCACAATTCTTAAAAAAAGTGCCGCTGGTTCGTGGTGGTATCCACAATCTTTACAAAAAAATGTGACCCATACAGTTATTAACGCGTTGAAATCCTGTCAGCGCTTAAATTTTCCTAAATTTTGATGGAAAGATGGATTTCTAAAAGAGATCGCACTTAAACCAAGTGCGTCCGATGAACAGTAAACACGTCCTAATTTCACTGTCGTTAACTCCCTTGGCGCCCTCGATTGCATGAAAGCATTTTACCCCATGGAAACATGGCATTAAAAGCAAGGGCCGTAGTCCTCGTCACTCTCGCTCACTCATTCATAGATGCAGGCAGAGAGGGGGAAGCAAGCATCACTCTGTATCTTTCTCTTTCCTGTCAGAGAGAGATGCTTCCCACAGGCGGGGGTATAGGCAACGTCGTTTTCGTAGCAACGCAATGGTCCTACATCGTCTGCTTGCCTTTTCAATGTACTCAGGACAAGAGCGAGTCTTTTGTAATTACAGAGGTTTTTCACTGTGAGTGTGAGCACTCAAAAGGCCATGAAACCTCCCTTTGTCTTCTCACGTACAGCGCAGATGAATCACTGATTTGGAAAAAAAAATATCCCAATTTTTGTTTTTGGGTTATGAGCGGGTCGAGGTGATTATGACATTTGTCGGTTGGGACTGGTTTCTTTCACACTTTGAGGATTAAAATCAATTTCAAGTCTCAAGATTTCAAACTTTGCTGTGCAGATGTATTGTCGAAGCACATGTGCTTGAAAAGAAAGGATTGGTTGCATGGCTACGGATGGCCCTTCAATTTTTTTGAAGAATGATTGACAATTTCAGTCTCTTAGAGGTTTGGTTAAGATTTTTTTTAAAGGGTGCAGTTTCTTTATAAGGTTGCAACCTTAAACAATCCAGGTGCACCTCCAAATTTTATTGTAACATGGAATTTTGTTGTAAAATTTTTTTTAGTATTATTTTAAGAGTAATGATTTTATGAGACCTTCCCACACCCATGTGTGTAGGACCGCAAAGGATCAGCATTAAATTTGACACAGATCTCTAAAAAAGTCAAGTTTGACACCCATGTGATAACTTTTCTAGAAATCTGTGCCAAATTTACTGATGATCATTTGGGGTCCTACACATATAGGTGTGGGAGGGTCTCATAGGATCATTACATTAAAACAAATAAATAAAAGAAAAATATGGTTCTCACTTGCTTCCACTATTGAATACAATTCTTTAAATCAAATCTTAATTCATTGCTTTATGGGAAGACAAGAGCTCAACAAAAAAATAAAATTTGAAGAAGTAAAATTGACAGAGATTACCTCAATCGGGCTTAATACACCACACCGAGTCTCCTCCTTCCGATGGTGATTAGGATCTATGATCGGTCTCTTGATTCTTCCACTTATGGCAAAACCCTCTCAATGGCATATTTTGAACATTTCTCGGCATGTGACCTCGGGGTAGTCTGTCACAAACTCGTTAAACCAAATAGTGGCGTCTCATGTGAAACTGTGGGCGAACATCGCTTTAAGGGCAATCGGCCTATCATGGATTGCTGGTATAGCAAAAAGGTAGCTGGTTATGTGAAGGCATGGGTCGCCTTTACCACCAAAGAGATTTTGAAATTCAGGGGGTAAGAAATTCATAGGTAGGTTGGCGAATCCATCTAAGTAAGATTCATCATAAGGCTCGGTGAGAGCGGGATCATCGACCCCCAATCTTTGAAGCACAACGTGCATAATTTTCATTTGTCCCTCTAAAGATTGGTATTTCATGTCTGCCGGTGCGTATGATATCCAAGGGTTACTTCCTAAAGTGGCAGGTTGACCAGTTGGATGTAGAGGAGTTAGCTAGTGTGGTGGTGGGTATACAAGTGCCATAGGAGGAGTTCCCTAGGTTGAGGATTGTAAAACTGTTATGATGAGTCCAAGGCAGTTCGGCTCGGGACTATCCCCGGATCGAATTGTGCTTGACCAGACTGAGGGGACCCTAAGTTAGGTTCGACCGAGAAGTTTGCTGCATGCCCTAGGCTAGGGTTCCCCATGGCTTGGAGAACAGCTTGAGATATCCTATTTTGATCAACAAGATTATCTACCACTAGTTGGTTGATCCCTAGTGGAAACTGGGCCACACTAGGGTTGGGTGCTAACCTAATACTAGGTTGAGCGGCCCTAAGAGGAGCTTGGTCAGCCCTACTGCTACTGCAAGCATTAGAAGATCATGTTGCACTAACCCTAGTGGAATGCTCTCTACTGGGTGGACGGGGTGCTATTGGTATAGGAGGATCACCTATGCTTAAATCACCAGATTGACCACCACTCAAAGCGCAAATCCTATCTTGAGATTGGCATCGGGATAGGGGCAACACTGCAACTTGCTGGAGAATCGCACCCAGTCTAATCCCTCGACAGTTTAGGGTGCTTCAAGCGGTACAGACCTGATGATCCCTAGAGCTGGACCGGTGACTGAGTTGATCTCTAGACTGACGACTAGGTGACCTAACTACAGATCCAGACCGAGGCTCAACTCCATAGTCCCATGGGATATCAACAAGCTGATAGCTGCACTCTGTCTCGATGGATGACTGCTCGATGTACCCGACCTCCGGTATGAGTTGGTGGTCAGCTCGGTGTCCGACTCTTCTACCACCATACTTGGGTTGTAGTACATCTCGCTACTTAGGAACACAGTTCAAGCGAAAAGACATGGGTACTTCTAAACCACTAGTAGGTAAGGCTAGGCTTAGATATACTACCTAGGTAAAGACCTAATTTTAAAAATGAGGTCAGGTAACAGGGTACACCCACCTTTGGTTCGGGCCACTCCTATAAGCCACCATGGGTCCAAAGTATTGTGGGGTGCTCTTAGAGGCCAAGTGTAGGGAGAGGGTATTCCCGCTGAGGGCCCACGATCCATACTGCTCTTCCTATAGGGATTAGGTGCCTACTCCGAAAATATGAAGGTCGGATATAGGTTTTTCAAAAACTATATTTGAGAAAGTTTGACCTTTGTCAGATCGAGTGCAATAACGCACATATGACAAACAGCACACGTGCACGTGAAAGAGTGTGTCAACCAATCATAATGGTGCTCAAACAAAAATGAACACGAGGCACTTTAATCACACCCAGTGGGATGCGCTGCGCTATGACAAACCAGATCGAGGCATAATGAAACTGTAGGGCTAGGCACCCTAGCAATGAATGAGCGCCAAGCACCTTGGTGCTAGCCAATGTGTGCTTCGGTGTCCGAAGTGCGGTTCAAAAGGAGAGTACGACTTATGTCGACTCAAGCGCGCTTAGAGTCGGGTATGACGCTACTCGAGGCACAAGATAGGGGTGAGGGAAGAGGGTCCCTCACGAACAAAGGTGCGGGGGAGGCATGAAAAAGAAGGAAAGCGATAAAAGCTACGCTACCAACAAAGGAAGGTTGATCCAGGCAACAAAATCCCGGCGCCAACGATAATAAAACCCAAGATCTGTGGTCCCGAGCGGTCACAACGAAGATTAGGGGGTCAGGGTCCTGACGACATTGCAAATGACACCAAACCCTTTTCTCTGAAACTCAGTAGAAAAGATTGAGAAAGGCCAATAGCAAGCCCCTAAGGGCGAAGTGATCTTTTAGAGCTCTGGAGACCTGGTGGCAATGGCAATGGAGCTAGCGATAGTGCCAATGGCGTTAGGCTTCTGAACATCCAAAAAGTACACGGGGTGAGCCGGGATGGGTAAAATCTGTCGTGGGGAGTTTTGACACTTCCTGTGGTAACTTTTGGCGGTTTCTGGCCATGAAGAGAAGCAAGGGCTCACGATGAGCCGGGATGAGTTTTTCGTTGAAAGAGGCCTTTTGAAACAACGGTTCAAGAGTTTGTTTCAATATTTAAGATGGAAGGGAAGCTTGATGGGCCCAAGGTGGGTGCTAGATTTTTTATACTTGAAATTGCTGGTAGGGGACTATGCGCCGTCTTGATTTCAACAGTAAATACATCAACGAGTCAGTAGAGTATGGGTCCTGTTATATTATGCTCCGAGGGAGAATCGGGTCCTAAGACCTTATCCCTCTCAGATCGCTGACAAAGCCGGCTTCCATACTATCTTAACGTTGGAACTCAAACAAGAAAGTTTTGAAAGGGTTTTATAGCTAGAAGGGAGATTTTAAGAAAATAGATATAAAAAGGGAACAAAAGAAGAAAAACACAGATAAGCAACTAAACTAGAAAGAAGTGAGTAAACAGGAGTAAAAAATCTAACTACTAGATGCTGGAAGAACAAGAAATCAAAATGCATGGAAGAAAAATAAGTAAGACTAATCTAAACATGCATAACATAAGATGAAAGAGAAAGATAATATCATGGAGATGCCAGCGTGGTTGTGAAGGAGAAAGAGAATGAGATCCTCCTTGGCGAGACAGAGAGGTGTTAGTATAAAATTCGAATAAAGATAAAAATACAACATGAGGAGAAATAAAATAGATGGAAGGAAAATGAAGAATGACTGATACTAATACATAATATGCAATAGTAGTAATAAGAATAAATAAAGGAAAGAGATGAAAGAAAAAAACATGAGAAAGAAGGTTAAGGTGAAAGAGATAAAGAGAAGTAGGAGATGGTTCATAAATGGGGGAAGAGAAGGGTGGATAGATGTCAATTCTTAATAGAAGATAATGAAGGTCAAGAAGGATAAATAATCAAGAAGAGAAAGAGTGAGACTAAGCTATTGACCAAAATCTAAATAAAAAAGGGAAAAAAATATAAGAGAGGATAGGAGATGAGAGAGGTTGATAAAGACCCAGCTAAAAGGTAGAAAAACAAGCATATCCGGAAGAAACTAAGAAAGACTATTATATGGAACAAAATATGAGGAAAAAGATAAAATAAACATAAAAGAGATTGGAAGTGAGAAGAACGAAGGAGAAGAGATTCAAAATATAAAGTACAAGGAAAAAGAAGAGATGAAAACAAGAAACCCCTAACTAAGACAGAAAAACAAAACCAATAATCCTAACTTTAAGACATATGAGAGATGAGATAGATATGCATTATTATATAAATAAGAAAAGTAAAGGAAGAGTTAACATAAACCAACAAAGAAATGAGTGAAGCAAGGCATGAAAATACTATTAACACATAGAGAAGATGATAGATCAAAGCAAGGATAGGGGATCTATATTAACAAGAGAGGGAAAACAAGAAGAGACATCAATGTAACAAATCAATAATAATGCATTCTATAAAAGGAAAGGAGATCAGTATTTAATGGAGAAGAGAATGAGGGTCAAGGTAAAGAGAGATAATCTATGCTTTAAAGAACGAGGAACAAAGAAAATGGATAAATGTAACCAAACCAAGAGGATCATTTGCTATAAGAGGAAAGAAGATCACCATTTAATAAAAAAAAGAATAAGGGGGAGAATGATCATCATCATTAAATGACAGAAACAAAAGAAGAGTAATAAACACCCAATCAAGAGAAATGAATACACATTCTTTTAAAGGGGAAAATAATGTGAATGAAAAGACAAAAATGGATGGACAAGAGTAAATATAACTAACTCAGTACCATAAATGCTACCTTAAATAAATAAACATAAGAGATCAAGAATGTGAGAAGATAAAGGGAAACAAACAAGCCTAACTAAGAGCAATAAATGCAAAGAAGGGGAAAAGTAAACTATATTCAAGACGTAAAGAAGAAAATGAAAAAGCTCAACATAAATGACAAATGAAAATAAAATTTAGTAAAATAAATAATGATAAAAAAAAAAAGAAGAGAGGGGAAAACAAAATATAGGTAGGGCCCCCAGGCACGTTGTCTAGAGTCGATGCCAATTCAGATAGTAAAGTTGTACAATCAACCTGAACTTTCTTGATTCTTAACATGACAAGTAGAAATAGGAAGACGGGGGTGTTCGAACACATTTTTCAGCACCTTGGTCCCTGATGCGGAATAAAGAGGAAGCCAGTCAATAAAGCCTGACAAAACAGTGGAAATTTTGATAGTCTCAAAATAGCCCCAGAATAGGTCAAGATCTTTATAGGAATTCCAAAAGGCCACTTACCAAGTTTCGTCACAATCTGACATGTCTAAGTTAGTGAACACAAAGAAACAATTTCAGGAAAAATCTAGCACTCTGAAACGGACCCTGTAACTGAAATTACTACCTCCAATGGATTTGGTACGGTTGAAAACCCCTATTGGTCAAATTTCGGCTTAATCAGACACTCCAGGATAAAGTTATAAGCAAAACATTGAAACAGGAGGAGTCGCACACTATTCCCGTGTGGCCACCCTACACCAAAACACCATTAAAGGTAACTGTTTTCATAGTCACGGGCAGTGACTTCCCGAGTCGGATTGCGCTCAAATGTTGTGAGCATGTTTGTCTCGTCAAGTCGAGCGTTTTGATATGTCGTACACCTCCGTGAAGACACACGAGCAGGGAGAAAAGCTAGAGAGAAGTTGCTAATCCGTGAAGAAGTTGCAGAACATTCAGTAGCAATATGCCTCGCTTGAGCGGCCAAATCACGGCGCTAGAGCATCGAATCGACCCGATACTAATTCCATCGTGCGCGTAGGTCCAGGGCTACCATTGGTCCAAACCCCGTACATGCTGAACGGTTGGATTTTGTACACAAAGGCAACAAAGTGATGTAAATTTCGGCCGCCGGATTCTAGATTCCGGCCAAAACCCAAAAGTTGTGAAATCTTCGTTCGAGCTCCAAATCGTGGCCTAAAAACATGATTCATGGCTTGAAGTTAGTATAAAATTGGTCCCCATGCCGAGCCCTACAAGAAAACAATCATCTTTCAATCAAGCAGGCATCAAAGTAACCCCGGATCAGTCATAGAAGATCATGCAAGTTCTAGGGCAGCAACATAGACTATTCTAGAATTCCATCTATTGTTAGGCAGGGGCAAAAAAATCATTTTTCACTCTATTTTCTCAATTTTTTTAATTCAATTAAATTGTAATTATCATCAATTTAGGTAGTTTTTTAGTATTCACCTATGTTTGGGCCCAATTCTATATAAACATGTAAAACCTATTTGTAAAGGACTGGGGACCTTTGGTTTATTCTTCAATCATACAATAAAGATTTCAATTCTTGCTTAAGTTCATGGGTGCATCTTAAAGAGAGAGAGGAGAGAGAAGAAAAGGACCGACACCCTTTGATAAGGTAATTTTCTCTCTCCTCCTCTTTCTCTCTCATCTCTATCTCTCTCTTTCTCTCTCTTTTTTTCTCTCTCGTATCTCCTCCTCTTTTCTCTCTCATCTCTATCTCTCGATTTCTCTCTCTTCTTTTCTCTCTCGTCTCTCCCTTTCTCTTTCATGCTCTCATCTTTATCTCTTTCCTGCTCTCATCTTTATCTCTTTCTCTCTTGTCTCTCCATTTCTCTTTCTTGGTTTTATCTTTATCTCTTTCTCTCTCTTCCTCCTCTATTCTATCACGTTTCTTTTTGCCTGCTCTTCTTTTTTTTCTCTATTCACCCATGGTGGACCTCTTATTGAGTGTGATGTCTTTCTGTTTCTGAGACACAAACAGTGAGCCAAGCCTTAACCTGGATGGTGGGTAGGGTCTTTATCAAAGTTCTCTCTCTTTCTTCTCTTCTGTCATAAACGACGCAAGCCTTTCATCACCTATGCTTTCTCTCTCTTTCTTGTCTTTGATCACAGACGCAAGCCTATTGCCACCTGTGTTTTCTCTCTCTTTCATCTTTTCTGTCACAGCTGACGCAAGCTTAGCGCCGCATGTATTTTCCATCCTTGTTCTTCTATCATAGACGGTGGAACCCTATCACCGCCTATGTTCTCTTCCTCTCCTCTTTCTTCTGACACAGTCGGCACAAGCGTATTGCTGCCTGTGTTTTTTGTCTCTCTTTTCTATTACAAACGGCAGAAGCACAACGTCGCTTGTGTTCTTTTTCTCTCTTCTCTCTTTATGTCACAGCCGGCGGAGGACCATCACTGCCTGAGTCTCATATACCTCTTTCTCATGTCACAGCCAGTGGAAGCCTGTTGTCGCCTGTGTTTCCTTCTCACTTTTCTTCCTCACGTCGTAGCTTGCGGAAGCCATCGTCGTCTGAGTCTTCACTCTCCCAATCTCATTATCGTCTATTTCCTCCTTCTCCTTTCCTTCCCTTCCCTTCTCGCTCTTCTTCTTCTCTCATTGTTTTCTCTCTTACTCTGCTTCTTCTTCTTCTTCTCTTTTCTCTTCTTTTCTTCTTATTCTTCTCTTTTCTCTCTCTTTATGTTCTACTTCTTTCCTTCTCTTACCCTTTCGTTTGACCAAGAGAGGTGGAAACTAGCATTCCATGATAGTCCAATTGTCTAGCAATAATATCGTTCTACCGTTCAGAGTTACTGTGCCCACTTTATTGTCATGACAAACTAACCATCCTGTCAAGCTAGTCGGTATTGATACCATCGTCTAGTAGTAATTCTATTGAGCCGGTTTGAGTTACCGAGCCTGTTTTACGGTCACGTTGGGTCAATTACTTACTAGTTTAGTCACTGTATTGGTCTTACCATCTGGTCAAATTCTTTTGACCCTAATATTTCTTCTCTTATTCTTCTCTTCCCCTTTTTGAATGTGCACGCCCGTGTACATTCCCCTAAGGCAAGGTGGGGTCCCTTGACCCACTTGTCTTGTAACATATGTGTGTGATTGCAGAAACAAGAGAATACAAGCCAAGGGAGGCGACTTCGAACTAGTTTTACAACTGAGGGGCTTTCTTTGTGATCTAGGAGGGTGCCCACATGAGCCAGCCCGAGTAAGTCCCAAACCCACCTTAAATTTCTCTCTCATCGGTTGGTCTACCTACCCTTGTTTAAAGGTTCTCGAGAAAGCGATCTCAAGTCTCGGGTTCCCTTGAAACTCGAGACACGTGCCACTCTATCACCCAGATCCGGAGGATGAGATCAAGGCACCTAACCAGCTTGGCGACTCCACTTGGGACTTACTACCCCCTAGTCGGAACGTACTTGTTGAGGTAGTTTCTCCTTTTGTTTTCTGTTTTTCACACTTATGGCTTCTGGGTTCTGTAACCCGTTTATCCGGATCGGGGATATCCTTATCCCCGCATTCATAAGTGTCCCCAGGGAACAAGTTCCTCCAACAACTTTTCCAACCTTCCTTTTAAGTAAAGACCCCACGTGTAGCTCCCTGGTCTTAATCTGGATTGGTGTGAGGTGGGACTTAATGGTCCCTCACTCCCCATCTCCTCGCTCTGGTGTAACCTCTATCAAGGCACCCTGCATAGGAGACACACACGCCACCACTAACAGCATGCACCTTGTAACCAAAAAGTCACTTGTCGATCGTATTGCTGAGGTACGCCGAAAGGCTGCCCAGTCCTCTGCTGAAAAAGGCAAACAAGGTGCCGTTGTTTCTGTGGGTCATTGTAAGGTTTCCCCCCACACTTTTGCACCATCACGAGTCTCTACCCCTAGAGGCTCGACATATCGAGGCGGAGACCCTGGGGCCTCCACCTCTCGCACAAACCCTATGGCTCGTGGGCCTCCCACTCTAGCCACACCTCGAGGCGACTCTCGTATTGCGTCAAGCCAGTTTCTAGAACCGGGCTTCCTTGGGCTAGGTTTTGTACATGCTATGCATGTGCACCTCACCTCTCGGGGTAAAGCCGACGCTGCGCCAACCCATGTCCACAGGGGACGACTTCCTCGTCCTCCTACTCATCACACACTAGCACACCCAGTAAGAGGTAGGCTTCCACCTGTTTCCTTACAGACACCTGCTCGCGATTCTCAGCCTCTTAAGGCCAGTCAATTTTTGTGAGCCCAGGCTGACCTCAAAGTCGCTTGTGATCCTTCTTCAAGGGGCACACACACGTCGCCTCCCCAAACTTCTATTTCCTGCTCTCGAATAGAGCGTCTTCGTGAGTCGATCATTCCACCGTCTGCCCCGTCTCTTTCAGGAAAGCACCTCAAACCTTGGTACTCGAAGACCTTCCCCAAGAGTACCATCTTGGACCAGTCGTATTATCTCAGGCATGCCCCTGGAGCCTATAAGAGAGCTCGGGGCAAAGACCTCATGAGAGACCCTGTCCTTCTTCTCCCTCGACCCAGGCTGACTTCAGTCCCTGGCCCTCATCCTTTGCTGCACCTGATAGAGATAGCTCTCTCTTGCGCGAGACGAGTTGACCGATCACAGTCCCGTTCATAATTCTGGCATGAGATCCATCAAAGTCTCAAAGCCAAGCGTGACAGGGGTCTACGAATTCTGACTAGAGAAGCAGTCAAGATAGTCGAGACACCTAGCTCTAACAACCTTCTTCACCAGAATCCCTTCTACCCTCTTGGGAAGACAAACCTTCAAGAAGAGGAACGTGAATCATGCGTCGTGGTTAATGTCGTTAGAGATGACCTGGCCACCCAGCAGCCACGGTCCCAAGATGGTCGAGAACCAATCCTTACCCGCTCATCATACAAGAGTCGGGTCCAATCAAGGCATGCTGATCCCTTACTGACTGACTTGCCACGTGTGACCCGTCAAGCACAAAAACCTTTGGCCACATCCAAGCCTGACCTCCCTGGAGAAACGGTCAGCGTCATGGTTATAAATGAACTTGCCGACTCTTAGGAGGCTCTTATGGAAAGGTTTGAATAGATGGTCCAAGCTATGATGGAAAAGATCGACCGTATGGAGGTTGTTTGGAACTTAGCTAACCATGAGGCCAATTCCCATCATTCCGAAGATGTACCTCCCCCAGGCAGCGTCCTCCTCTTGCCTCAAAGGACAATTATGTCCCTCACCCCTTCTCTCAGGCAGACATTGATGTTATGGTGACTCATAGCCTGAAGAATAGGCAGATCCCAGGCATACAGGGCGTGACGCTTTACCACAAGCCGTACCCTTCTTATATTGATCAGGTTCCCTTCCCCTAGGACTATAAGAAAGGGAAGTTTCCTCGCATCGATGAAACAACATCCCCTCGTCAACATATCACCCATTTCCAAGCAGC